AGATGACGCGGTTCAAGACATCCTCAGTCGCCAGACTGTGGTTGATGATGTCGACGAGCCAGTCAAAAAGGCTGGAGTAGATGAACTTGGCTACCGAATCGCGGACGACAATAGCTTGAGCCTGCGTCAAGTTTGACGTAATCTTCTCGCCTCTGGTGACCAGCTGCTTTTTGACAATCCACTTGGCGAACTCGGTTCCGTTGACACCCAGGATCGATGAAGCTAGTTCAAGTGAGGGCTCTGTCGGCGCGAGGACACTATCGTTGCGTGAGGCTCCAATTTTGATGTTGCCAAGGTGCAGCAGACCAGATAGGAGTTTAAAGATCTCCGACTGTTGTGCGTCGGTGACACCAATTGTCCGCAGAGACGCCTTTGTGGCCTCAAACTCGGCTTTATCATCGACACCATCAATCGTTGGGCAGTTGCCCTGGTTGAGATACTCAAACTCCTCAATTGGCAGCAGATGTAGATCCTGACGCTCCTTGTCTGAGGCACCAGCAACAAGCTGGTAGAAAATGTGGTAGTTGCGCTCCTTCAGAGGTTGGAAGACAAGTCTGGATCGCTCAAGGAGGTAGGTACGAATCTTAGCACCAATGATGTTGGTTTTGTCGTCAAACATAATCTCGATATATTTGCCGAATCGTGACGAGTTATCGTTGCGCGTCGTCTTTGCGTTTCCGAAGGCCTCCATGATGGGGTTCGTAGCCAAGATCTGTTCTTCTGTTTCGCTCATAGCTTCGGCGCCCTTTTTGGACCGCGTTCCCGGGTTGTCAGGGGATTCTCTTGTTGCGAAGTATCGCATAATGTACTTGGCGCTGACCGTTTTTCCAGCTCCGGACTCTCCCGACACGACAACAGTCTGGTTCTTTCCGCTTCGCACCATATCACTGCAAAACATTAGCCAGTGTTCTACGACTATCTTCATGGCATAGCGCGATGACAGGTTGGCCTACATGAAAGCTTCTTCTGCAATGGCAAACAAGTGCGGTGCTTGCGTTGCTCTCTGCTTGCCAGCATAGACCTGGACCATGCCCGGGACGTAGAGCGAGTCTACTCTCGCGAAAGGGTTCGCCGCAATCAGGACTATTCCACTGTATGTGTAAATTTCCTTCTGGGCATATCGAAGGCGGATGGCTTGCAAGACTAGAGGCACGCTGAGTCAGCTATGAAGTCGCTTGAGTATCGCATGGAGACAAATATTGTACCTGCAGGCTCGTTGAGATGGGACAGATTCGTCAAGTCGTCGCTGGCCTCGAGCATGGTCGGATTCATCAGGGGGGGGAGGGATGAATCGCCCTTCTGGAGGGCCTCGGCGGTGACCTCGACCGTCTTCTCCTATTTGGTCGTCAATACGCGTTTGCAGGCCTAGCCGAGGCATTAGAGGAACCGTACCTCGCCGTTGTCCAGCTTGAAAACAAGCTTAACCTTTGAGCCATCTTCGGTCTTGTTGACAACCTCGGACGCGACCCAGCCCTCCGTAGCATCGGGCTGCCACGCCCGTGTTCCGACATCGTAGTTCTCCGACATTGTGACAGCTTCTAGAGTGTTGAATCGACTAGGTACCGGAGATGGCGATGGAGGAGAACTAGTATTCCCGGGAAGATTGGCGGATGGGATTCGGTAGGTCTGGGGGTGGGAGCTCGGAGCAATTCGTGAGATTCATGGGCAAGCGAGTGGGCAAGAGTTGCAGGAGAGATTAAACGTGGTAACTGCCAAAGGCAAATACCGTCGGCCTGTCTTGTGTTTCGGACTCGCTGCTATTGCCGCCTCGACAGTCGTCGTCGTCGTCGTCTGCTTCGCGTTGGTCGTCGAGGTAGGGGATGAGAAGATGGAGGAGTAGGAGACGAGGCAGATGGAAGGTGGCTTTGGAGATGAAGGGCAGGCCAGCCTAGATTTGGTACCAACCTTATGGGTACGGTTTGTATGGGGCCCTTGTAAGAGATGATTGATGAAGGATGGGGCGTAGCAAGAGAGACAAGAGAATGAGACTGCACGCTACGCAATGTTCAATGAACGACTAGCGGGATTATCTCCAAGAATTTGGCAAGTTGGGATAGATTGCACGCAGATGTAAAGGCGAAGGATAGGATGTGAAAGGGGCGGGTAGATCAATGGCAGCTGAAGAAAGGAGGACGGCGCCGTTCCTGGTGTGAACAACAGAACTGGACAACTTTTTGAGATTCCAACGGACGTGGAGGCGGACGTGGACAGGGGCACCAAGTAAAAACGCCAGGTGAGAGAGCTGGGCTTGGCCAGCTGGAGGGACGAGCGCCCTGAGGTAATGTTCTTGGCCGCTGCAAATGTAGGTACCTACCTTAGATACGCACTGGCAGTAAGGTGCTCCAGTGTACGGAGTACTAAGCCAAGTTACCTTACCTAAGGACGATGTGTGAGGCGGTACCTTGGATACCTACCTGATGCCCACCTTACTGGGAGGTTTTCTGTTCCTAGGGTAGGTATGGTATCCGTGGTACCTTACCTTAGGTAATGCAGTGCGGGTATAAAGGTAATGTCTTCCAGGGTAAGGATACTAGACGCGTCTACCTAGGTAGATAGCGGAAGGGGACTGGCTTGAACAGTGCAGGGCAGGATAGAGACACTGCTGTTGGTTTGAGGCAAGGCAAGTCAATGAGTTGCTCCCATGTCAACTCAAGTTACCTCGGAACGGTGTTCGTACGTAATTATGTTATGACTTCATGGCCAAAGATAAGATCACCTAGAAGCGTCGGATAAATTCTTGGATGGCAACAATATGAGCCAGTCAAACTGACTACGGAAACTTCAATGCTCAAACTGTTTTCTTTCAATCTCGAGTTCTCTATTGAAAGTTTCCTTTGACACCTTCGCCGGGCGGACTGGAAGGGGATGGTCCGGCCGCCGTAGGTCAGCAGCTAAACCATCCTGTCTTGGTGGCACCCATAGTTTAAAGCATCCGACCAAACTGACCAGTCAACCCAAATCAGCCTCCTACTTCGGTCAGCTTCTAGCTGCCTTGTGTGACATTCGGCTCCTTTTCTTCGATAACAAGGTACTTAGGCTCCTTCATTGGTGACAGTCGAAAAAACCTCGAGAGGCTTTCCGCACTGAGCACCCGAGTTCGCATCATGATTGGTACTGGGAGAATTCTGGCATGAGACCATATAGGCACCATGGCAGGTGGCTAGACAATCTGAGCAAGAAAACCTGGTTCTCTAGATCGACGACTCAACGGGGCAGAACGATGGGACTTCATTAAGGACGCCCTGAAAGGAAACCTTCAGATGACAATGCCATTAGCAACACCATCCATTCCATTTGGTCATTTTTACTTCCTGTACTGGCTCTCCATCTCTTCCACAGTTGAAACCCTCGAAATTTCCTTGGAACCCAACTCGATGTAGCATCCGTACACTGCCTAGATATCAGCAGCACCGAGACGCCATATGAGCCGCAAACTCTGGCTGGCTGGCTGGCTGACAACCAACAAAGACGTAGGTTGAAACAACCGTCACTTTCGGGTCTGCACCAGGCGGCGTGGCAAGTGTCCAGGAAACACAAGGAAAGCCGTGCTGAGAGCCTTCGTCCCAAGCTACCCAGCCGGAAACCACAGACATGTTGAACCTCAGACGCACCCGTCGGTTCGCCGACGTGTCGCTGTGGTCAGTAACAGTGATGTCTCCCTTTCCTTGCTGTCCTAGCGCCTTTTCCTTAAAGTATGGCAATACCTGTGTATCCATCTTGTGCCTATGCACCATATTGTTAACACACAGTCTCCTTATCTCTCCTCTCATATGCTGAATCAGGCCTGAATACGGGCATGTATCCTTCGGCATGGTCATACTCAGTGCTGCTTCATTGTTTAGACTTCCTAGATGTTGTTGAAGTCGGGCATTCGCATCGACGCAAAGCACAGTGTCCTTTACAAGTCATTTACCTATATGGATATACATTGCCAAACGCCTGCCCTTGCCCTTGCTGATGCCGACTGGTCTTCATCCCATCCTAGTCTCCACGAGTCCCCTGCAACCCCTTTCGCCATCCACTTTGCTCCCAGTTAACCCCGTGTATTCAGAGGCAAATTTCACTCAGCTCCTTACCGCCTGGGGTGTTCACATCGTCCCAATATTCCTCGTCATGCCATTTTCCACGCAAACAAGGCTGCCCAAGCTGCCTGTTGGATACCTGGGTACCAGTAACACTGGTTCGGGAGCTCACAGCATTCAGCAGCTGGCAGAACAGTGACAGCCCGATCGATCACATGCGCCGCTTTCCTCAAATCCTTGTGGTTTGCTCTAAAGATCCGTCACTGGCTTTCGAAGACTGGCCAGCACTGGCCATTTACCGCTCCTTCGTCAGCGGTCACCTAATCCTCTTTCTTTCTTCTCAATGAAGATCGACCTTCTTCGTTCATTATAATTTAGGGAAAAGAAGAGAGGGGCGAGCTCATGCGTTGTGGACTTGAGGCCCGGGCTCGACTCCGCTGCATCAACACAATTTCCGAATTGGCCTGGCCCCCTTTGCCAATTCTCACTTCTGATAGGCTGTTCATCGCTCATACTCACCGCCATGTTCATCCGCTTTCCTACGGCACTGAGCAGCATCGCAGCAGCTGGTATGCATAACCAACCAAGCGCATGCATACCTAGTAAGGTAGTGTCCATGGCGAGATGATTGGTATTCTGGGATGCCTTCCATACCGTGGCTCTGTGTGGGTATATGTAATAACGTCCACGCGACGCCTCGGGGATGTGTTGTCTGTAATCGCAAATGTTGGTTCCGTTCTATCTCGTTGTAACTTCTACCATATTGTTTCCTTTCCAGCCATGCCCATATTTATGTAACGACAAGCTTTTATATGCCTTCAAGTTGATGTGAAACCCGGTACTCCCTAATCCAAAGTGCCCAGATCCAATATCGACATGTTGAGATGCTGTCTTGGGTCGCTGAGAACCTTCTCTTTTCACGAACCAGGAATCTCCATCACAAACGCCTTCCCAATGCCATAGCTTCTACATGCGCGTCTAGTACAAGACGCGGGTCATGATGCGTGCTGTATCCTTGTGTAAGTGACTTTGGAACTCGCTATCGCATGTCCGAATTTGTACTCACAGCTCAGAGAATCCAGACCGTCGTTAATCTCCTTGATGTCCTCGGCCTTGACGCTGCTTACGTCGGCCATGAGGTATGCAATCTAGCGCCATGTTAGCAAACCGGCTTCCATCCTCGACTTCCGATGCAACTCACGTCGCCTCTGCTGTCGGAAATCTGCTTGTCAACATTGTGGTTGCCAAGAATCTCGTTGACTGCCGTCCATTAGCACTCTATACGCATACCAATGATATACATCATGGGTATTATCTCACCTCTGCGCAAGACTCCGGGAACGTTGCGGTGAATATAAATGACCTGGATTCCTTGATTAGCCCTCTGTTAATATCCGCGTCGCGCCAAGGCTTGCTTACACGAGCGTGATCGGGCTCATCCAAGGTCAATGATCTCAGGTTAACCTCTGGCAGATTAACACTGTTGAGCGTTGTGCCCTGATTGATGTAGCGAACAAGCGCCTCGGCAACTAATTTCGAGATCAGTTTGTATGCTCGAGCAAACCACTGAGCGTATTCCTCACCTTCGACACCAATAGCACGCTGGGCTTCCTCGGTGCTGCCACCAATGTGTGGTGTCAAAATGATGTTGTTCAGGCTACGCAGGTCCTCGCCCCATGTGTTGAGCGAGCTGTTGAAGTAGTCGCCGTTGGCCGCCGGCTCGTTGGGGTAGACATCAAGAGCAGCACCGGCAATCTTGCCAGAGCGCATGGCGTTGATCAGAGCCTGGATGTCGACAACGCTGCCGCGACTGGCGTTGATCAAGTAAGCGCCAGTCTTCATCTTCTCGAGCTGAGCAGTAGAGATCAGGTTCTTGGTCTCTGGCAGCTCAGGCACGTGCAAGGTAACGAAGTCGGCCTCCTCGAGTAAGGCTTCCAAGGTGGGTACTTGGGTCGCGGTTCCCAAGGCCATCAGGTTCACGACATCATAGTAAACGACGTTCATACCCATAGCCTCAGCCAGGACCGAAAGTTGCGAGCCAATGTGGCCATAGCCCACAATGCCTAATCTGCAGTCAGCGAATGATGGGGCATCCTCCGCACCATTTGGCGATGCAGAGGTCAGGCATGGTAGGATTGCGTACCGAGCGTCTTGCCACGGATTTCCCAGCACTTGGAGCTGACCTTGTTCCAGGTGCCGCGGTGCATCTCGTTGGAGCGGTCACCAAGCTGACGGGCAAGAGTAATAATTTCGGCAATAACGAGCTCTGCAACACTGCGCGAGTTGGCGAAGGGGGAGTTGAAGACAGCAATACCGTGGGCGGCAGCGTATTCGAGGTTGACCTGGTTCGTGCCGATGCAGAAGCAGCCAATGACGAGCAGGTTCTTGGCCTCACGCAGGACCTTCTCGGTCAACTTGGTCTTGGAGCGAATACCAATGACATGCACGTCCCTGGAGGATCACATTGCATGAGTATGGGGCATTCTATCACTCTCCTCATCGGACTACAGTGTAAGGGAGAGGCCTACCGAATCTTCTCGATGAGCTGGTCTTCCGGCAGAGAGGTCTTGAGAGCCTCGACCTGGTAACCTTGTTCGGTCAGGATATCTTTTCCTGTCTGATTGACATTTTCGAGGAGCAAAATCTTGATGTCTTGCGTGTTGAAGGGCTTCAGAAGCTTGGGGGCTGGCCTCTGGGCCAGAGCAGCGCCAGCTCTAGCAAAGCTTGAAGGGGGGGAGGTGAAAGTGGCGGTTGGCGAAGTTGATAGCCCCAAACTGGCGGAGACTTCGAGCTGTCTTCCGTGCGCAGATGCGCCAGTGATGTCTTGTGCTGAGCTCATTATGTGTGGTTTGTATTGGTCTTGCTGTGTGAGCAAGAAGGATGGGATGGAGGGGCAACACGATTTTTCGATGCGGGGCAATAGAAGCACGAGAAAGCTGCCAGACCAAGAGCTGCTGGGCTGTTGTTGGGTGTGAAGTCGAAGGGAGAGGTCGAGCACCGACTGGTATACGACGAGAGGGCTGGGTGAGCAAGAAACAGGGACAACCAAGGCAATGGGCAGAGGTAAAATTCTGGAAATGGTTCTGGGAGGAGGAAGTTTTTTAATCACCTCATGTCAAGCAGCCAAAATGACGCGGGATGTGAGACGGAGGGCCGTGACTGATGTAAAATAACGAGGTACCATACCAAACCTTGGGAGTGGAAGGTGGTACCCGATGACTGTTTCCAGTGCAATGCATGTATCTTCACTATTATTTTGCATGCTAGAGGTACCTCGCGCTGCCGTTTTTGTAAGGTCGTTGACGTGCCGTCCGCTGGCTGCCTGTGGGGGGCACCACAAAGGGAAGGATCCAGCGAGCCAGACCCCGATGTTGTGGGCAGGTGGTCCGGGATTCTCCCGCCGCATGTGGGCACTGTTCTTACACGGTGCAGAGGTCGGCAGTGGACAGTAGAAATCAACCAAATGGAAAAGAATTCATGGGCGGCCCCAACTCTCTGCTTGGGCTCGCACAGTGGATAAAGTCCGACTTGTCAGCGGAGCACCTCCGAAGGCCGGCAACATCCCTCAAGGTGTCCGGCACTCGGTCGTAGGCTCGACTCTTTAGGCTCAGAGGCTACCTCAACTTACCGCCTAACTCATTCCAGCCAAGCAAGAGGTGCCTTCGGGGCAGCCTGAGCCTGGGGTTGAGTCACTGCTCCTCAGCAGGTGGGTTGAAGAAAGAAAGGGAAGAGGGAAAAAAAAACACTTTTCTCCGGCGCCGGCGCAGATGGCACACCACACAACAAGCATGAGACGGGACTGGCCACAACCTCGTTTGCGTGGGTCGCGGCTTGTTTGAAGATTTGGCCGATGCATTAAAATTCAGCTTGATGTAAGATGTGCTTTGACTAAGACAGTTGTTATTGTTACCTTACTTTACCTTCATTACCTACCTACCTGGATCAAGTCACTAACCTGACCTGACCTGACTGCCGATTCCGGGCCGCACACCGACCTATGCAACTTCAGGTCATCCGCAAATCAACTCCTCGAGTGGTGGGTAGTCAAACGGCCGCTCCGACCTTCTACAGGTCCGCATGCACCGCCGCGTCCGCCCTTGAACTCCCCGATATTCTACGGAGCTTCCATATCGGTCACAGCCGTTGAGCCCCAGGGCGACATCCTGACAATGAAATGAGACTCCTCCATGCCTTTGACAAAAGTGACTTATATATGAGTAGGCGCTCCAATTGCTGAAAACATCGCGATAATGCCCCAGTCAGTATGTTGCATCGTTCTCAATTACGCGCAGTACATACACGAGCGAGCCGAGGACTGAAGTGGCCCACAGCCATATGCGGGAACATGAGCAGCACCCCACCCCACCCAGGAGATGCAAGTAAAAGGAAGATTTGCTTAGTTGACTTATTTCCTGTCTATTGCTTCCAGTGTTGATGCCCGTACCCGTTTTACATGAAGGAAAATTCGAGTGAACACCCTTTCTACAAATCCATTTTAGCACCGACGTATAGCATCATTCATGACCAAAACGTAAGATGGCCGTTTCGTTGAGAATGTTTGAGACCAAAACGTCAATTACCATCTATCAAGCAAGAAGCTCATCCATTCAATGCTGCTCTGCTTGGCTTAACCCTCAAGGCGAGTTTGTTGACGTGGCGCCAAGCGCGACGCCGCCGCCTTTCATGACGCGAAAGAATCAGAGCATGACCATCACCCACTCCCCAAATGTAGTCTGTCATGAACGTGAAGAACCTAGCAATCCGGTCGACCGACAGTCGTCGCTCAACTCTGCTTGCATTCAGCCGCCTCCTGCTTAGGCTTGCCGGTGTCGTCCTGAAGTATAGATTAGCATCTTTCGTCGCAGAATCCTCGAGTTACACGTCACTTACGTCGTCCTCGGACTCCTCGTCCTCGTCGCGGTCCTCACTGAGATCATCCTCGTCCTCGTCGTCTTCATCGTCGAAGTCGCCCTCCAGATCATCATCGTCGAGCTCCTCAAAAGCCAAGGCCTCGCCGGTGAACCAGTCAATGGCACGGGGAATGAGCTTCTCCTTGATGTCCTCACCAAGCTGGTAATCAAGCTCGAGGCGCTCCTCAATGTCGGAAGCAGCGTCATCATCCTCGTCGGCCGGGGCCTGGGGAGGAGAGAAGAAGTTGAAGAAAGATTCGGTGGGCACCGTCTTCTTGACAATTCGGGTCTGCTTGGTGTCTGGAAGAGGGATTAGCAGCTGGATCGTGATGGGCGGTTACTTGTGCGGAGCTTACTCTTGTTCCTCTGTTTCTTGCTCTCAACTCTGACGGTCAAATCCTTGCCCTCCTTCCACTCAATCTTGTCGCCCTCGGCATGGTCGTAGATGAAGTCACCGCCATAGCCGCTTTCACTTTGGTAAAAGTACGTCTTGGTGATGGTCTTGTTGGTGAAGAAATCGTTGTCAGCAAATTCGAAGATGAGGCGGAAGCCGGGCTTGTCGAGGTATTCCATGCGGATATCGATCAGGTGCTTGAGAGCGGCCTCGTCGCGATCGGTAATCATCTCGGCGAGAGAAATCTGGTTCTTCATGGCAGACAACCAGAACTCGGGGATACCAGAAACCGGCTCAGTGGATTCGGCAGCCTTCTCGGCCTTCTCAGCTTCCTCAACCTCTTCGTCGTCCTCCTCATCGTCCTCCTCGCCAGCCTTGATCTCCTCCTCTGTAGGCTCAGAGGCACCGTTGACAACCTTGGCACGCTTCTCGTAAAGAGGAGTGAACTTGGCAAAGTATTTCTTCTCAAGTTGGAGAACCTCCTCTTGAAACTCGGCCTCCAGCTTAGAGTGTTCCTTCTGGATGCCTTTGAGGCCGGCAACACGGCGGCGCACCTGGGGAGGCAGCGACTCGATGTAGCCGGAGGATCGGCCAACGAGAGAACCAAGTCTTCCTTGGATCATCTGGACGAGCTTGGGGTTCTGGGCAAAGATGGAGGCGGCGGCGGCACGGTCGAGATCCTCTGTAAATTTGGATGCACGTCAGTAACGGGTCAATAGAGGGGTGGGCATGTCCTGGGGCGAAAGCCCAAAGTGCGCGCAGGAAAGACGTGAGTTGGATATTGCAGCGGGGGTTTTAGTACATACCCTCTTTAATGCTGGCAACGCCAGGCTGCTGGGCATGCGACGAAATGGGCGCATTTTGAAGGGGGGTGTTTTGCGGCGTACTGAATGCTCAGGAGTAGATGTCAGCCATGGTGATCGTGGAATGGGGCAAGGGAAGCCTAAGGAAGCGACCCCTCGCCACCGGGTAGAACAGTGCCGCAAGATTTGTGACTTACGGCGCGGTGGCCGGATCGAGGCGCTTGTTACGGATCGGCTCAGCCATTATGTGCGATCGAATCTTTTGATTGTTCGTGTACGATAATGGAGTGAAACCACAAGAGGCGTGGGACAGAGATGTCCCGGGCTGATCTGAGGGAGAGGTTGCGGGTGATGGAGTTGGCAGGGCAGAGAACGGTGCCGAACGTGGGAAGTTGTAGATGCGCAGTTGACTTTATTTTGGTGGGGGGGGAGGCAATGTGTGGTATTGGAAAAAAAAAATTGGGAGAGAGGCTTTCTCCGTTGGGGCGGGTACCGCAAGTTGGCGCCTGGGCTTCTCCTATGGTTAGGCGGGCACAGCGGGTAGCGTGCTGCCAATGGATCCCACTGCGGGCGACTTCCACAAAAGACGACCTGAGCCAAGGAGAGGAGGGGGGGGGGGGCAGACTGTTCCATACCATTGGACCCCATGAGGCAAGATAGGTAGGTAGGTACCTAAGGCACCATACCTACCTTTCGGTACAAACCTAAGGTATCTTAGGTAACCTAGGTTTTGTAGGTCGGTAAGGACAGGCGGTGCAGCACTGTTATCCGAAAGGTAAGGTAGCCCAATTAAGGCGGGTAGTCCCCTAGGCAGTCCCGCATCACTGGACTGGGCTCTCTTAGATAGGTAGCTTCCATTGGTCAGACGTGTTGAGAAGGTATCAATCATTCTTAACAAAGTAAGGTAATCAACATCGACCTTCAAAAACTGCCCTGCGGCTCCGAATACCTCCTTGTGCTGCACGACTGCACACAGCCCAAGAGACAAACAGCGAGCGATACCACTCAATATCAGTCAAACCCTATCATTCCAGCAAATTTGACCCAGGCAATCTAAGCATCGATTCTACGATACCCGTACGCGGCTGGCGACGCTGGCCAAGTGAGGTAATGCGGGGATTGCAGCGGGGGCCACTGGGGCTAGGTGCCTACCTCAGTCAGTGCGCTCCCTCCCGTCCTGCGCAACCTGGACAGCACCCAACGCATCATCATATATCAGACAAGTTCCTCACTATGTAGCTAGGTATGTGCCATACCTGGAAACAGGAAATTGGAATGGAGTAGAAAGTTTCTTGCATCTATCGTTCCCATCAATATCAGTTAACACCAGTTGGGCAAGGTCTACATGGTTTTGGCTGATACTACATTTGTGGTGGTTACCCCCAGAGGTCTCTGTCGGCATTTGCCGAGGGCTGCTTACCTAAGATTTCGACGAGACAAAACTCCCCTCCCTCATCTCCCATCCTGATACGCCATTCCGCCCTCCGCAAATTCCAGCAGTTCGTTTCCTATCAGTGCAACAGGTGGCCCAATTGCCCAGCCACCTACCTTACCGTGCCGCTCAGGTGTACGATGAGAGGGGAAGACGGCGGCGCTAAAAAGAGCACGATACGGTTGCCCACCTTCTTGAGCAGCGTGTGTTACCTTTCCTTAGGTAAGCAGGCAAGGTTCATGAAGCGAACTGTCGTCACATCCTTTCAGAGGTACAGATACCTATGACAGATACCTAGCTAGCTACCTTACCTAAGGTCGGAGAAACCTGCCTACCTTACTCAAGTCGCCTCACAACCCCTGACAACCTGTAATGCTTCTTCCGTGCCAGGTAGCTTAGGTTGCTTTATTCTTGAAGTGCTTAGTATGCGATATGCCAACAAACAATCTGCGTAGCTCAACGAGACAGCTACGGGTGCCTGGCTTTTCCTTGCTCCTTCGCGAGCTCGAGTTAGAAATCCAACTCCCAGCGCCCATCCGATTTGAGGACGATTGAGCCGACCGTGCGGGCATCCGCGCTGACTTTCTTGACCTGCCGACCGACCCCCAACTCCGAAATCGCATCGCAGCGCACCACAGCACAGCTTCCTCGAGCTTTTCCTAAATTGCTTCTTCTAGTTCCCGAAACCCAAGTAAGCGTCTCGACTCAAGGCTATGTGCCGTTCTCGCCGAATCCGCAATACCGCTTCTCTCAACTCGACACTCGTTTCGGCAGTTCAGCCACGCCTTCAACCTCTGGTCTCTCGAGCTGGAACCTTCGATACCGTTACGGCGACTAGATCGCCCTGAAGAAGTCGCAGATATGCCTGCGCCAGGAGAGAATGGGCATCATCGTGCCTCCTCTACATCAAGGAATGGCCATGCGCCGCTCTACCGCCTGGACTCGAATCAGAGCTCAACGAGCATCTTTGAGGAGGTGGAGATGGCCCATGACGAGGTCAGACAAACCCAAGCCCCGTCTTCAATTGCGGATTAACTCAGATCATACTGTTTATAGCTCTTCTCTGGTCCTATGGCCGAAAGCCTTCCTACCAGCGTTTCAGCCTTCTCCCATCGACGACCTCGTGCTGACTCTACGACGAGTTTTGCATACTATCACGATGAACCCGAAGCCTCTCCTACTTCGTTCGAAGATGAACGCCAAAGCCCGTCAGATGATGTGGGAGATTTTGCATTTGGTGACGAGGACGAAAGCTACGCTGATTACGAAAACGGTGATCCCATCGATGATTACATGTCCCAACGCAGGCGGTCGTCAACGCACTCGAGATCGTCTGTTCACGCCCGTCTATTGCGCCAAGACAGTGGCATGACCAATAAGAGCCTTGGTGGAGATCGTTTGAGCCAGAAGGTATACATGGTGAATGAAGATCTTACCATTGCCATTGCTGGCTTTCGGACGAGTCGACTTGGCTTCTCGGCTTATGTCGCACTTTGCCTATGCACTGCTGGTATCGCTTGGCTGCTTCTTAGGTGGTTTCCTAGATGGCATGTAAAACTTTTGGGTCTGCCGTCTCCATTAGCTGAGTGCGACTGGGTCGTTGTCGAGGTAAGCTATGCGTTGCCCCCCTATTGTTAAACATGAGCTGACGTCGTTCAGAACCAATGGGGAGAGTTTGCCCTGATGGACGTAGACAAAAAGCGATACGGTAGACCTATGTCTACCATCTTTGGCTCCACTGGAAAGAGCTACGGAGTGGATGATGATTACGACCCAATAATCACCGAATTACGTATGCTCAACTATCGTTACGTTCGCCTGTACTTCAACCAGCAAAAGGACAAGTTTGTCATATTCAACGGCTGGGTTGATCCGAATTGGACCGATCCCCGCGCCGTACGTGCCGGCATAGACAGCGATGAGAAGGGATTGCGAGCAGTTGTATTTGGAAATAACCTGATCGATATTGAGCAAAAGTCAACACCGCAGTTGCTGGTAGATGAGGTAAGAAATTGTTCGTAGTGAGAGGTCGAGATTCTAATCGTTCCAGGTTTTCCATCCTTTCTACGTCTTTCAAATCGCTAGCCTGATTTTGTGGTCTCTTGACGAATACTATTACTACGCCGTGGCTATCTTCCTAATGTCGTTTGGAAGTATCGCCACCACCCTCATTGAAACCAAAGCGGTAAGTCGAAGTCAACATTTTGCTTTTTTGGTACAGCCGAAGGCTAATGGAACCAGACGATGAAACGACTCCGCGAGATTTCTCGCTTCGAGTGCGATGTGCGTGTCCTTCGAAATGGATTTTGTAAGGACCCAGCTGCCACATAAGCTTGTTCGAAATTCTGACAGACATAGGGCGATTTGTATCGTCGAGCGAGCTCGTACCTGGCGACGTTTACGAGGTCAGCGACCCAAATCTCACTCAATTCCCAAGTGACGGCTTGCTTTTGAGCGGCGACTGCATCGTTAATGAGAGCATGTTGACAGGTGAGTTTCATTCGCAAGTCCTACTTCCGCATGAGTGGAACTTATCTTAATCCCATCTCGTTCTCAGGTGAATCGGTCCCTGTGTCGAAAACACCAGCCACCGATGAGACGATGCATAGCCTCGATTTGGCTGCACCGACCGTGTCGCCAGAGATTGGCAAACACTTTCTCTTCTGTGGTACCAAGATCATTCGTGCTCGGCGGCCGCAGGAAGAGCGCGATGGAGACGCTGTCGCCCTCGCACTCGTGGTTAGAACGGGATTCAGCACCACGAAGGGATCCCTTGTACGGTCCATGCTCTTCCCCAAACCATCCGGCTTCAAATTCTACAGAGACTCTTTCCGGTACATCAGTGTCATGGCTATCGTAGCCATGCTTGGTTTCATCGCCTCTCTCTTCAATTTCCTGCGGCTGCACCTTGCCTGGCACCTCATCATCGTCCGTGCTCTCGATCTTATCACTATCGTGGTGCCGCCAGCGCTGCCCGCGACACTCACCATTGGGACCAACTTCGCACTTAGTCGACTGAAGAAGAAACAAATCTTTTGCATCAGTCCACAGCGGGTCAACGTAGGCGGTAAGATTGACATCATGTGCTTTGACAAGACCGGCACCCTGACAGAGGACGGATTGGACATACTCGGTGTTCGGGTTGCATCACCGGTGACAGGCAGGTTTACGGATGTGCTTACCGATCCATCATCATTCGTACAGGCGCAGGCCGGCGGTTCAGCCCGGATGTCAAAATTGAGGGCAGCCCTGTACACCATGGCAACTTGCCACTCGTTGAGGTCTGTGGACGACGAGCTGATGGGCGATCCACTTGACCTTAAAATGTTTGAGTTTACAAGATGGTCTTTCGAAGAAGGCAAACAGAGTCCCAACGAGGCAGACGACCAAGATCAGGGCAGCCTTTCGCCGTCAGTTGCCCGTCCTCCAGCTGAGCAGGATGCTCTGTTGCGAGGTACCACTCAACAAGGAGACCAATCAGTAGGCTGCGGACCCCTTACGATCAAGGCTAGACTAACCCACTTGGCCAGCAATTGCTTGAATTGGGAGTACTGAGATCCTTCGAATTCGTTTCGCAGCTTCGCAGAGCAAGCGTCATTGTTCGACAATTTGGACAGCAAAGTGGGGACATATATGTCAAAGGTGCTCCTGAATGCATGCGGGAAATATGTCGCGAAGACAGCTGTGAGTGATCCATATCTACCGAACTGATTTCCGCGCACCTGGAAAGGCACCACTGACCTTGACCCTCGTCTTCGACACATAGTCCCAGTCGACTATGATGATCAGCTTGCCTACTATACACATAAAGGTTATCGCGTCATTGGCTGCGCAGCTCGCCATATTCCAAAACTTAGCTGGGTCAAAGCCCAGAAAATGAAGCGACACGAGGCCGAGTCTCAACTGGAATTCACTGGTTTCATCATCTTCGAGAACAAGCTCAAGCCGACCACGGCACCTATACTGACTGAGCTGCTTGAGTCGAACATCAGTACGACGATGGTGACAGGTGACAACATCTTGACTGCTATTAGTGTTGCTCGTGAATGCAACTTGATCAACAAGACCGCACACTGCTTTGTTCCGAGATTCATAGAAGGTGAGTGGCGAAAAGTGAGGCATCTGATTGATTCTAACAGTGAGCAGGCAACGCCGGTGACCCAAAGGCTCGGCTACAGTGGGAGAGCATTGATAACGGAGGTTTCCAGCTGAACGAACAGACTCTTATGGCAAGTTCATTCCAATTTTAAAGACATCAATGTAAAGCTAACTTCGTTGCACAGCCACTGCCACCTCCAGCTGACGTCGACGCATCGTTGGCATACAACATCAATGACATCCGCAACTACTCTCTAGCAGTCAGCGGCGAGGTTTTCCGCTGGATTGTGGACTTCGCGCCTCCATTGGTGTTGCAGAGAGTATGTTCTTGCCTCGAGCGTGCTACCTGGCTGCCTTTGCTCACAATCTTAGATGCTGGTCCGTGGTCGAGTGTTCGCGCGCATGTCTCCAGATGAGAAACACGAACTGGTCGAGAAACTGCAAGCGATCGGGTACTGCTGTGGCTTTTGCGGTGACGGTGCGAATGATTGCGGCGCTCTTAAGGCTGCAGATGTTGGCATCTCCCTCTCAGAGGCGGAAGCTTCCGTTGCAGCTCCGTTCACGTCACGCGTCTTCGACATCGGTTGCGTTCCCCAGGTTATCCGGTAAGTGATGCCACCACCCGCGAAGCAGAGTATCACCATAACACGTATCTTTAGCGAGGGCCGTGCCGCACTTGTGACGAGCTTCAGTTGCTTCAAGTACATGAGTTTGTACTCGGCCATCCAGTTCACGTCTGTCAGCTTTCTCTACGCCACAGCTTCCAATCTCGGCGACTTTCAAGTAAGTTGATATGATCGCCAAAAGCTTCATCACTGGCTGATCACTCTTTAGTTTCTGTTCATAGATCTGCTATTGATTCTTCCTATTGCCATTTTCAGTAAGTCACAATATCTATTCCAGAACCTTTGATCGAAACGCTCATGAAATTGTAGTGAGCTGGGCCGGGCCATACCCTGTCCTATCACGAAAGCGACCGACCGCAGACCTCGTCTCGCGCAAGGTGCTCATACCATTGCTGGGCCAGATGGTCATTTGTATCTTCGTGCAAACTGCTGTATATATCGCCGTGAGAAAGCAGCCATGGTCAGCGCTTCCTACCTTGCTCCCCGCTCGCACACACTTCTTTTCGCATCGCTAACTACATAAAAAGGTACGTTCCCCCACGTGTCAACCATGACAAGTCGAATATCAAGAACTCGGAAAATACGGTTCTGTTCTTGGTGTCCTGTTTCGAGTACATCTTGGCGGGCGTAGTACTCAACGCGGGTCCTCCCTTCAGGGAAAAGGCGCTGAAGAACTGTAAGTGAAGCCGGATTGCAGCAATATCTGTCCAATAAACTAACACTGAAAAGGGCCGTTCATGGCAACCATCGTGGCAACCATTTCAATCACATTATGGATGATTATTGGCCCGGGGCATTCAGTAAGGCGTCTGATGCAGCTGACCAAGACAAGCTGGGATTTTGAGCTCTTCATGATTTTACTAGGGGGCGTTTACTTGGTCGCGGCATGGATATCGGAAAAATACCTCTTCCAAAAGCTGGCCCGAGCCGTGGGACATTTCAAAGCAAACTTTCTGAAGAAGCCGAAGCAAAGAAAGGAGTATAAAATCATTTTAGAGCACATGGAGTTATAGGACTACACGATTAGAGAGATGCCTTTGAGACTTGAGAGGACGCGCTCCCATATTTCCACCTAGCGCATGGCAAGCATTGCCTTAACCCATTGAAACAATCAATTCATTATGGTAAATAAAATCTAGTTTCTGCGTGACATATCATCCTCTTGGTCTCGGTCTCTAGCTCGGATGTCAGGATCGTGCTGCATCAAGCTAAGCTGACCGTAAAATGAACGTGTCATCGATGATCCACTGACCCGCATTCCGGTGCCGACCCAGCCCAGGCGGGTCGCTCCGGCTCCGAGTAGCCGGGGGTCGCGGTTACGCCCAGTGACCTGCCACCCCAGCCACAAGCACCGTACTTAGCTCTCAACTGCTTCCCTAGGTCGCTGCAATCAATCAGGTCAAGCTTCGACTGCTATCATCTAAGCCCCAGCTCTCGTGCCAATAGTCTCCGTTGAAGTAGCCTAAAGACCTCACATCAGTCAACGACTTATATTGCTTTAGATCTCATAAGTGGGTGCTCGGACATCGCTTTGGTTTCAAAGTACAATACAACCTCGCGCGTTGGGACTCTGGCTACAGAGACGGTCAATCCCTTGCTTCTGCCTCTCTCATTTCACTAGACGTTTGCGAATCACCTCTACCGCGAAGATGAACATGGGTACGTCCTCACACCCAAGCCTCATCAAGCTCATTATGAAGCAAGCATGAGAATGGACAACAAATCTCTAACGCAACATCTAGACTGGATCCTCGACAGCGGCTACCTGCCTCACGCCGTCATCAGGATGGGCATTCGGCGCCAGCTCCAGGAGCGTCTCGACTCCATCGCGAGCACGTCTCTCAGCCTCGACTATGAGCGCAAGATGACGTTCATCGAGAAATTGCGCACTCAGCCGATTGCAATCGAGACCGCTGCGGCCAACAAGCAGCACTACGAGGTTGGCACCGGCGTCCTCGCCGCATGCCTTGGCCCCCGCATGAAGTACTCGTGCTGCCTGTACCCCAAGGGAGGCGAGACATTGGCACAGGCGGAAGTGGCCATGTTACAGACGTATGTTGAAAAGGCCGAACTCAAGGATGGTATGAGTATCTTAGATCTCGGGTGAGTCGCCCCCGGCCCTTTCGATGCGTCGTAAGATCATATTTCAGATTTAAGGCCTAACTGATATTTGCAGCTGTGGTTGGGGATCAGGAGCGCTGTATTTCGCCGAGGTACTCCCCAACTCCAAGGTTACGGCCTTTTCCAACTCCAGGACCCAGAAGGAGTACATCGATGGAAAAGCCAAGGAGAAAGGGCTGTCAAACCTCACGGTCATCACAGGTAACGTTGTTGACTACGAATTCGAGCGGGAATCTTTCGACAGAGTTGTCTCTATCGAGGTATGTATCTCCCTGACCGCTAGATGCGTCCGATGAAATGGAGGTTGATTGTCACAAAAGCTATTCGAGCACATGAAAAATTATGAGCTCCTCATGTCAAAGGTGGGCAGGGCGTTGAAGCCCGGTGGCAAGCTTTTTGTCCACATTTTTGCCCATAAGACTACTCCCTATGATTAGTGAGTAACTGCCGCACTGTTGTTGATTACTGAGAAACGCTGACCGCGGGGGATCTCAGTGAGGAGGGTTGGATGACGACATATTTCTTTACAGGAGGCACCATGCCTTCCACTGACCTGCTCCTATTCTTTCAACGGGACCTTCAGGTCCAGAAGCAGTGGTGGGTTAACGGACAACACTACTCCAAGACGTGCGAGGTAAGTTGCCGCCGATATCCTCTCTACCGTACTTCAGTCTCAGTATGACGAGCTAACACGAGCATCAAGCACTGGCTGAGCAAGATGCTCGCACACAAGAAAGAGATCTGGCCGCACTTGGTCGAGACGTATGGGGAGCAGAACGCCAGCGTGTGGTTCAACAGATGGCAAATCTTCTACTTGGCATGTTCCGAGCTGTTCGCCTACCAAGGCGGGGACACTTGGGGCGTGTCGCATTACCTCTTCGAAAAGCCCAGCACTCAGTAGAAGTGACGGACAGAAATGAACCCAAGCATAGTTGTGCCTGCCGTAATTGTTTTGCACCCATAATAGAGTAGCTAATTGTTGATTCCTCTGCCTATTTTTGCCTGACTTTTGGACTGGCGATCGCCGAATGATCTGTCGATATTGCGCATCTTCTGCATATCCCTCAAACTTCTTGTTCACTAGACCAAGCCTCTCCAGAGCTTCCGGTTTAATGATCCCAAGGGTGCTTCCAGCCCAGCAGCACGGCTCCTGCACATCTCCGTCAGCATTCACGCATTCAGTATCGTCGAAAGTTGTAAGGACTGTACCGTCTTTCTTCGCGCGGTACATGAGCTGTCGATGGCGCGGATTGACATTAGCTTCCTCGGCCTCGCGGTATCAATTAGGGCTTCGACAAGGGACATACGAAGAACCACATGCCAGCGCCCAGAGCAGTCGCCGTGAAGCGGTACACACCAGGGACGTGAGGCGTCGGGGGCTTGGGGCCGGTATACATGGCGAGAGTCGATACCCCAGGCGCGTCGTTCGGGAAGATTGTCGAGGGGAAAGAAGGGTTTCTGGAGGTTGTAACTCGTCAGCAGGCCGCCAGAAACTCAATTCAGTCCGGCCGAGTGGGCTCGCATACCTTGGATTCGCCTTGACCTCTAGGCGTTCTAAACTTTGCTGGGAAAGGGATCGGGAAAGTCGAACAGTGATGGCCGTTCAACAATATCCCATGGGAAGAAACGTCGTTGACGGGACTGACAATCTGAGAGGTCCTTGGATGCTTAGGTAAGTCGGCTTGTGCCGGAATGTCGGACCAATGGCAGACAGTGCATTCTAACTCGCTCTTTCTGTCTTGGCTCAAGAAACTACGTACCTACCTTACCTCAAGTACCTTAGGTAAGAGCACTGAGCGACTCGTGCTTCATCCATTCGGAACGTATCTCCTTTGTCGGGACCTGCCAGGCACATAGGGATGGGTACTTCTTCAAGACCCACCAACCTCCCATTGGGTGCTTGGCTAGCAGCACCTCACACTTCCGAGTTCCAACTTGCAGCGCCTCATTACCGCAGTACCCTCAGTACAAAGGCTCAAACCCCTGGGCACTCAATTAGCGGCGTCAGGGTGGTCGTCGATTCCACCATTTAGCCCCCCAGCCGGATAAGAATCCACCCCTCCCCATGACTCCAGTGACAGTCGCGATATGAGATAGTTAGTGCCACCTATCCCTCCACCTGCCACATACACATACATACACTTCTGGGCTTGATGAACACCAGCCCGTTTTTCTGTGCCTACATCGACTACTCTTTCTTCTACGCAACCTTGTGCAACCTAAACCGACTCAGTCGTTCACTCGTTCACAAAAAAAAGCTACCACTCCCCGGCCAGAATTCTTCTGTTAGCTGGGTATCTAGACAAGACGACTTTCGTCGATTATCGATCAACAGACGATTACATCACCAAAAGCTACAACAGCCAGTGCATGCGACATGGCAACTCCCAAGTTCAACTCAAAGTCTCCGACTATACGGCGCATACGTAAGACGTCCCTCAAACGTTGGATCCTGATCCATCTGACCACCTAGAAGCTCGCTAATCAATCGGACTCGAATCAGTGCGCGAAGCCCAAGAACTCTCCAGCTCTCCCTCACCAGATTATACAGCTACTCCACTAGAATCAGATTTATTCGAATGGCACTTCACTTTCCGTGGGCCACCCAACTCCTCCTACAGCGAAGGCATCTACCATGGCCGTATCGTGTTGCCGCCCACATACCCTCTTCGTCCGCCGAGTTTCCGGTTCCTTACACCTAGCGGCCGTTTCGAAACCAACCGGGAGATTTGTCTCAGCATCAGCGGCCACCACGAAGAGACGTGGCAACCCGCATGGGGCGTGAGGACGGCACTCGTCGCGTATGTTTAGCCTTGGACTCCCTTTCTCTGCCTTCCCAGCCCCGACTAGACATGTTTCCCTCCTAACAAGATAAAAGGTTGCGTAGCTTTATGGAGACGGACCCCCGAGGCCAGCTGGGCGGTCTCGAGACAAGCGATTCTGTACGAAAGCGTCATGCCATCGCATCACACACATTCAAATGCCCAGCTTGCACAAAGACAAATATTGAAATCATCCAAGAATGTGAAGAATCGGCAAAGGCCAACTCCGACTCGCCAGATTCAGTGACTGAAGTCGAGATACCCTCCGAGCTGAAGCTTGGATACAAGGATGAGATGACTGAGTCTAAGGGCTCGGAAGGAGGATCTACGGAAGCAGTGACACCGGTGCCTCCGACACCAAGAACCGAACCGGTGGATGCAGAGAGTGCCGAGCTGGCTGAGGGCTTTGTCCGTACGGCACCCGAGACAGTCGCGGCGGCCCCGAGTTCAGCATCAACATCACAGTCACCAGCGACGGCTGCATCTTACCCTCCTGCGCATCCAGGTCAAGGTATTATCGCCCCTACACGGACGGTCTCGCTGCCTCCGGCCCCGAATCTTAGTGTGCGCCCCCAGGCTCCTCCTACCACCCGTGCGTATGACGAAGGCGTACCGCTCTGGGTTGATCGAGCTATTGTCGTTCTCGTTGTGCTTCTGCTGGCCATGATTCTTAAAGTCTTGCTTGACTTTTAGTCATGATGTCCCTACAATTTGCTTGAGGGGATCCAGCCCCCACCACCTTGGATGAACGCTGGAATGCGAGAATTTGTTTACTCCACGGTTGCTGGCGTCTGGCTGAGGCTGTTTAGGCGTTGTTACTTGCCCATGTCCATGATATCGTCATCCGGATACTTTTAGACTTTGTTTTATTGATACAATGGCCACTGAGCCAAAAGCCCGTGTTCACAACGGGATGGGAATACTACTCCAATGTATTTGTTGGACCCTTAACCTCTATTCAGTAGCGACTGCTCTCATGCGTGTGCCGCCATGATTGCCCTGTTGATATCCTCCCTCACGAGTCGTTCACAGAGCATTTCGCTGCTGTCCAACGACGAGCCACCACCACTCATCCACAGTGACACTCTTTCCATGGGTAATACCCTTCAATACACCGTATGTTTTCCCCCAGTCAAACACAATCTGCACCTCAAACTCTTGTAGATATGGTTTGAGCACGGCACAAACGGACGCGACGTCCAGGGGTCCACGAGTTGCGACAACGAACGCAACCGCCCCAAGAACTTGTGCCCAACGATCATGGTTGAGCTCCCCAAAGAAATCTGACCACAATGGGACCGCCCGGTTATGATTTTCCCTCGGCGGCTTGCTATGCTTGGCTTTTTTTAGGAGCGCCAAATTTTCATTGTAAACGTACTTCTCTGTGGCCTCGATCTCAAGACCAAAGTTGTAGTACGACTTGGGGTATTTCCTACTTTCGTAGTTGCCCGGGTCGAATCCAAGAGGGATGTTCGGGACATCGACCGTGGTGACGGCAACTCTTCCGTAGGCCTGCAAATTCATCATGGCCATGACCTCGCCATCCCTCAAGACGTAGGGAATCCGGATCTTCTCGCCCCGTCGGAAGCTTACATCAAGTCGTTGCTTGAACTTGGCGGCGTCGATGTATTTGACCTCATTAGTCCACTTAATGAATCGCGGCAAGAATGTCTCGGTGAGGCGGTAAGGGCGTCCCTCGAGTGCTTTGAGCTTGCTGTCTGTGATGACACCTTGGCCTTGGAGAGTCTCGACCGCTTGCTCAAGAAGTGATTGGATGCGCTCCTCGTCTCCGCCCCCAATACTCGCCATCTTCTTTCTGATATCTTGCGGTGCATATTTATCGCGATGCGTGTAGCAAAGGGAACGCAACCACGACATGGCAATGGCTAGGTCCTCGGTGTCTTTGGACGACGCTCCCCCATCGTTATCCACGAGGGAAGTCGCGGGCCGTGAAGTGGCCGCCTCAAATCTGTTAAAGACAGACATCTGAAAGTTATAATACTCGTCGCGCCAGTTGGTGACATCCGTCCAGGCTGAGCCGAGGGAGTAACCCCGTTCCAGAGCAGTCTTGCTGGCAGGCAACTCCTGCGAATCTTCAATCAGACTAGCGGTCCACTTGATAAGGCGCGGCCAGTCGTAGTCGACATAATTATCGAAGTCAATGGGTGGGAATTCTTCGTTCTCGTAGGCTGAGATAAATTGAATCTGGAATCGTTCAGAAAGCTGACTGATGAAAGTTCCACGATCCTTTCGGGCTTTCGACCAGAACCGTCTCATGGCGCTGAGGGCCATGTCGGGGAACAAGGTCATCATGAGACCCCATTCTATGATTCGGTCGGCACCACCAAGAAGTGTTCTTGTGACGACGAACGCGGCTATCAAGATGGTTTCATTCGTCTCGTCGAGCCCAGCGTTCCGTCTCGACGCATCTCTTAGGTCCATGTCTCTAGGCAATGGTATGAGCGTCCTGGTCTTCAGATCAATTCCGATCATGAGCTCCCTGGGCTCGGTCCCGAGCTTGGTCTGTCGTCGCTTGCGCTTTCTTTGGCGACCAATCTCCCCGCCCCAGAGATGGTCAGTTGCAGTCGTTCCCTGTTCAGCGATATGGAGGCTAAATAAGGCTGATTGACTGAGTTGGTTCACAGGGTCCCATTCAAGTTGGGGGTTCTCCCATTCGCCCGGAAGGTCATCGACGCCGTGGTTGATAAAGATACAATCCGGGGCGATTGACCCCGCCAAAAGGAGCTTCATACCCTCAGTTGACAACTCCCAGTCGAAACAGGCATCGACTTGGTCGGAAAATTCGTAGAATTGGCTGCTGGTGGGCAACTTGTCTCCAGGCCCCCCTCGCCACTTTGTTATCTCACAGAGATTTTGAGGCAAGTTTTGTCGGAGGAACCAACGCGAATCGGGCATCCAGCCACTGATCGTCAGGCTACGATCCTCCGTCTCGAAGAATGCGCTCTCACGCGCCGGCCAGGTGCCGTTATTGCCGTCGATAATGTCGGCATGAGCGAACGATACGCTGAACTCGTCGTGGTCCACGTCAGACTTTGGCGGGGCTATGGGATAAGTTGGTTCAGGGGCCGAGGCATTAGGAAGAGATGTGTGTTGAATGTCTTCTGGCATTTCCGGTCCAAGATATGTGTTGGGACTGAGAAAGACAATATTCGGAGGACAGCCGCTCCGTCCATCACCGCGAGATTCGGAGGGCCCAGTGATTGGTCCTACTTGTCCTGTCATGAAGAATCGAAAGATGTCTCTCTTGCGTGTTCCATCGGGACCTTGGTCTTCTGCGTGGGCAATCTGTTCCCTTGTGACCATTCGTTTCCTGCGTTTCCTTGGTGTCTGGGATCCCTCAGGGGGCGTGTTTGGCCTCTCATTAGCTGCTTTGTTGGCATAAAAAGGAGCATCGAGAACCTCCATCACCTGGACTGTCTTCCTACGGCTGGAGAAGACAGGCTGAGCGTCATGCTTGTCCTCTTCAGGCACTCCTGCCTTGGGCCTGAAGGCCGGCGGGATGTAGAGTCTTGGATGATGAGCCATAATGTTCGCTTTCATGGCTGCACCTGGCGGGGATGACGCTTCGATTCCAGGAATCCGTATCAATTGGTAGTTCGCCATCATGCCTTTAGGATTCTTGAAAGCATGCGTACTGACAACCACTTGCTTCTTCTTCGCCAACCTTGCCAATGCGTTCTTGTACATTTGATGGTCCGGCGCCTCTTCAGACGAGAACAGAGTTTCCCATGTAGCAATAGTAGCGTACCACAGTGACTGGCCTCCGGGGAAGACACCGCCACTCGCATGTAGGATGTACTGAAGTGCCCGTTCCATGGTCTGTGTGTTCGAAAGAGCACTGCTGTCAGTTAGACTGGCCTTCAGTGCGTCTGCATGTGGTAGGGGGCTGGATTCGATGACTGGTGCCAGCACATCTCCTGAGCCTGCTCGCTTGGGACTTCCGTTCGAATTTCGCTTTGCTGGATCCGAGTGCGAACCTCGTCGCCCCGAACGGTCAGTCATTTTCGTTGGCGTCGAGATTTGCGGTGGATCGATTCCAGTAGTGTCTATGAGAGTCTTCCTGCGGCTTTCCGGGGAGACATGCGTTCCCTTGGCCTTTGGTGTGTCTTCTCCCCTTGCTTTCCCAACTGCTACCTGAAGTGAGGCATGTTTCGTTGGCATGTCTCTTACAGCACCGGCAGGATCATCAATGAGACCGCTCATGGGCAGCTGTGTCGAGGATACCGGCGGCTTCAGCGTACTTGATGACTTTGACGCACTTCGATAACTGCCAGTGCCCCTTCTCGCGCCTTGTCTTGTCTCCTGTACTACGCCAGATTCCTTTCCTCGATCGGTACGCAGTCTTCTACTCCTGGAAGAAGTGGCCTCGAAGAATTGTATATCCGCGGTGACAGCGTCATCTTCTCTTTCATGCAAGCCAAAGACGTCCTCCTGGCTTCCCTCGTCGTCTAGAGTGTCATTGAGGGCAGATAACCTCGAGTGCCGAGGCTTGATCTGTCGTGGAGGGTTGATTGCTCGTTTCGCCAGAGTCGATCGTTTCGCAGCTGGGAAAAGCTTCTCGGGAGGCCCAATAAGGGGCGCCACATAGTTTGGGTTGCAGGGTGTCTTCGATTTCTCGAGGTGGTATTTGATCCCAACGTCGTTCTTCCAGGTTCCTCCACATTTGTCGCATTTGAAAATCTTAGAACGGCCACGGGCAGAAGATTTTGCTGACCCTTTCTTGTTCCGACGGCCTCCACGCTTCACAGGCACGTCGTCGGCAAGTATATCATCCACTGCTCCGGCATTGGGCATCTCCACACCTTGATTCAAGTGTTGAGAGCCCACAACAATGGATTGCTCATCTGTCGGCAGAGCGGCAGGGACTTCGACCCCCTCGGCTGTCGTATCTGGTAGCGCTGCGTCTACATTCGAAGGTTCCTGAAGCTTGCCCCCTTGGCCAACAGCAGCATGTATAGTAGACTCGTCTGTTCCATGGACGGGAGGAGCCTGAGGGATATACGGGACCACGCCGGCTTCAGGATCTGGATCGCGACTGCAGAGTATTCTGGACAGCGCTGACGGATCTACTTTGAGTGTCACGATACTCGATGCTGTTGCCGATTCAGCTGGTCGTCGCCTCGTACCGCGTCTAGTAGCCGTTGCAGAGGGGGTTGCGGAGTCTAGCTCCGAGCACGTTCCTGTTGTAAAGCTCGCGTCCTCTTCAGAAGAATCTTCGCCGGTCTGCTCTAAAAGTCTTCTTCGCTTTGCTTGACGCAGTCCTCCTGCTTCTTGTGCCCCACTGGCTCGCAGAGCGTCCGAAGCTTCGGCCTTCCTCTTAGTGATGGCATTGAGTGCCTTGCCAGAAACTCGAGAAAGAGCAGCTAAGCCACTAGCAGTATAAGACAAGTCAGGGGTAACTGTGGGATTTGTAAAGTGGCTTGCCAGCGTCTTTCCACGGGCCCCGTCAGACAGAGAATGATCATCACCCATCTGTTCACTGAGATTCTTTTCTGCGGGGGCGGCAACTTTTTGCTGGGCGCTGAGTGCAAAATAGCGATATTGCTGAGATTTGCCTTTTCGGTGCATCTCACTCGATACCTGAAAGTGCCTGAGATACACAGGCTGCTGTGTCGGGAGAGAGACTGTCGAGGAAATGGAGGATATATACCGCCGAAAGGATGGCCCCAGAG